CACACACACACTGCACGGACATGCACCGTCCACACACACACGCACACACACACTGCACGGACATGCACCGTCCACACACACAGAGCACGGACACGTTCCGTACACACATGGACTCTCGCTGTCCCCACACACACCCTGCACGGACGCACGCCGTCCTCACACACACACACACACGCACACACACTGCACGGATACTAGCTGTCCCCACACACACATCCTGCAAGGACACATGCTGTCCACAGACACAGACACCCATGCACATATGTCCACACACATACTGGACACAAGAGAGGCAGTTTCGGTACACTCAATTCTGTACAGTACTGTCTATACACAAAATGTGTAGTGTGTGGACAGGAATGTGCAGAATGAGCCTCTATAGGACTGTCAGTAGTTGGAAACTGCTGACCACACACCCAATGTAGACAGTGCCATACAGAGACACTGCACACGTGAGACAGCCTTCCCTGTCCTCACCTCATATTGGTGCATGAGCTGCACCATGGAGTCTCCCACAAACAGCACCTCTGGCTCCTTGTCCTTACACTCCTGGACAAATCGAGTGTGCTGAACACAAGCAGACAGACACAGAAACAACAAAGACAGACACAGAAGGCAATGTAAAGAGACAAGAGAGATCAGAATAAAACCTAGTTGGTTTACTCATTGTTGTTTTTAATTTAAAACAACAATAATTTGTTCCTTTACAAAGTCAGTCAGTATATATATTTTGATGAGGGATGTCTCATGATCCTTTGCAACATGTAGTGCTGTAGACTAGAGCTGGGCGATAATTCGATAACGATAATTATCACAATATAATTTTCCTCGATAGAATTTTAACAAAAGTTTGATAAATGTTCGATATGTATGTTTCTGCTTTGCGCATGATATGTGCATGCGCACAAAATACTGCGCGAGTGCGCGTCCGTGTTGCAGACTGGGCAGCTAACAGATTTGTTAAATGTTTCTGCTGTTTGGCAAGTGTTTGTTGTGCTCTTAAAAAAAAAAAAAGAGTTGTTTAATTTACCAATTAACTGTCTGGTTTCTTCAACTTTCACTCAGGAGAAAAAATCTGCCTTTAAACTTGAAAGAAATAATGATTTGACATTTATCGTGATAATTATCGACATCGACTGATGTGAAAATGTTTATCGCGATAATGTTTTTGGCCATATTGCCCAGCCCTACTGTAGACCCAGAATCCATCGCACTGCACCTCTCCTATAACTCAGTGGATATCAAACATTTTGCTGTATGATCTACTTTGAAAAAAGAAAAGTTCTGGTTGTCTTCGAGAGGAAGTAAAAAACTAAATCAGACTGCAAGCATCAGGCTGAAAATGAATGTGTATTAAGACTCATCATGACTACTATGGCTGACTGTAAAATATCCAGGGATTCGCAAAGTTGTATACAGGTCTGGCGGGCCTCCTGCTCAAAAATCGGCAGCACCTGGCCAAGTAAACAAATGAACATGAACAAAATATACACAACATCCACTCGTGGATCGTCCAACCGCATCTTCCAATTTCGGATTGCGGGGGAGCTGTTCATGCTTTGGGAGCAAATCTCTCGGTCTCACTCCTTGTTCTGCAAATCTCATGTACTTCTATCAAGTGGAGGCTGATTTTTTTTTTTAAATGAAGGGGTGAACGTAAAATGTTGAAATTGTTGTGGGGTCAAGAAATTCTGTTAATTAATCTATGTGTTTTTTTGTACTTGCATAAAAGAGACCCTCAAAACAAACAGTACGCGATCACAATTTTTTACTAAAAATCTCACACATTAGGGGGTCTGCACCCTTGAGAGCATTGTTAGCAAGACGTGGAAAAAATGCAGGATACTCTTAATACATGAGATTCAGCTGCCTTGCTCCTGAATCATTGAATCATTGGGTCACAGGCAAATAATGTGTCCCTGCATCACTTGCCACTTCATTTTCAAAGTGAAAATAGTCTTATTGCCTCAATAAGAGCGCAAACAATAAACAGCCTCAATAGCAAGAAAGAAAAATGGCTTGATGCAGACGGAAAACAGCAATATGTTTGAAGCACAAGGCTCTTCCTCAGGCACCATCAAAGGCAGCCTTCATCTTTGATGAATCCTATATCATCAAATGAGTTGTTTTGGTCAAATAAAGTGTAATTCAGAATATAATAAGACAGCCAGATAGTTCGCAAGCAAGTACAGTAATCTAGCTGGCAGATAGCTAGGGGGCAGGGCTGGGGAGGTGGAGGTTACCATCTAGCCTTAGCCTTTTCTTGTGGGAAACCCTGATATCTTATACTGAAAGGCATTAAAAACATCCAAAATTATTGCTTTCAATACTCATTTGTTGAGATTTTAATTTCTCTCTGCATGTATCACTATTTATAACCTGTATTCCAGTCAGCATTAGCCTGTATCCTGGAGGCTGCTGTCCATCTGATATCACCTGTCTGAGGTCCAGTCAGCACTGGCCTGTATCTTGGAGACTACTATCCATCTGATATCACCTGCTTGAGGTCCAGTCAGCACTGGCCTGTATCCTGGAGACTACTGTCCATCTGATATCACCTGCTTGAGGTCCAGTCAGCACTGGCCTGTATCCTGGAGGCTGCTGTCAATAGTAGCACCTACACTTGCACTTAATGTGTCCTTTCTGCACTGAGATAAGAATGCTGCACATATAGCAGGTGGAAGCCAGGACACTGATGTGTGTACGTTCTGGGCAGGCATTTCCCGAGCAATTGCTAAAGCTGGCAGATAGACAGCCGCCAAAACACTAACGCCAGATCATGGTAAGGACTCGCGGATACACAAACAGTAGACATGAGAGTTTGACACTTGCACCTGTCACTTCAACAGGTGAGGATTTGGCCCGCGGCAGTGGACATGCATGTTCAGTTTTGTGTGTCCAAGCTGGGAATTGTCTCACCTGGGACATCCAGCGCCCATCTCCCTGGACGTCCTCCACTGGGACAGGCACAGCGGCCAGGTTCAACTCCTCACTGCTCATCCTGACCTGTGGAGCGAGTGAGTGTGAGTCACGCTGCACAAACACGGCCTTCATGTGCAGGCCACCTGAGGACATCTGGTGTCCACACAGAGAACTACTGTCCCAATAACTGCTGGTTTACCAGGTAAATAAGCAGTACATGTATTAACTGTCTGCACAGCGGGCACAGATACAGTGACTGCATCAAGGGCCATGACACCTGGAACAAGTCTATACAGTGGCTCCTTCGCAGGTGCATTCACCAGGTATAGAAATATACTACATTCTTACAAGGGCGCTATTTCTACAGCAGGAACAGGCCTATATGCGTGTACAAAATGCGAAAATATACTAATAACCGCCTGAACGCCATTGAATTCCCCCGCCGGTTCCATTTTGTTCGCTAGGCTCGATTGTGGGAGCCCATGTGTTTCCTGAGATCAGGCGCAGAACAGCAGCGGGCCGCAGGAGGAACACATGACTGCTCACACAGCCGCTTTCTCACTGCGGCGCCCCGGGAGATGCCCGTTATAGCATCCGCTCCTGAGCGGGCTGCGAGAGAGAGGGAGAGGCGGAGGGAGAGGAGGCGGCAGCGTCAGGAGACGGGGAGACTAGCTCATGTCGGGTTCTTGATCTCCGACTGAGGCTTCTTGGCGACCTGCGTTTCTGAAAGCGGGAAACCAGCTGTCCGCTTCAAACAATAACAATCTGCTTCGGATAAACACCTCGCCGCTCGAAGTGCAGGGCGGCCACAGCGGCGCAATCACTGCAGAGCCTCAGTCGCCGCCGTCCCCCCCGCCCAGCGCCGCGGCGCTTCGGGCACGCCCGCCCGCCCGCACAGCCCTGCCGGCCAAGCAGGACAAACTCACCGTCTGCTCCCGAAAACGGATGCAATGAGCGATTGTGCGCGCTGACTCGGCGATCTGTCCGTCTGAGCCCGGAGATGCTCTGATGGGCAGCCCTGTTATTGTTGCACCAGCGTGTCCGGATCCCTGCGTTCAGCACTCCCTGGCTGTGTCTCTTTCTCTCCCTTCTTCTCCAGCGCCCAGAGGCTCCGTGCAGGTCGGGTTGTAATGCGTATTCCCCAGGTGTCCGCCGGTGCTGCGATATGGTCGGTCGCGTATTAGGGATCTCCGTGATCTTCTTGATCTATGATTCCTCCAAGATCTCCACCTCCCGCTCGCTACACAGGCTGCACTAACCTCTCGCCACTTCCGCTTCCATATGTCAATCACCCTTGCCTGGGAGGATGTCCCGCCTTCAAATCGTGACGTCAGAAATATCAAGTCGTTTATTCCAAGCTGAAAAGAGAAGAAATCAAACACAACGTTTCGGCTGTGGAGCCTTGAGGAATAAACCTTTACTTGTTATTTTGCAGCCCACACATGCTGCATCAATTTCCCTACGGGATTAATAAAGTATTATTATCACATGACGCAGCTACCGACTTGAACTACGTCAGAAATATAATCTGTTTTCTGTGTCCGTGTCGATCTACTATAGAAAACTGTATTATTTTCCAGCGTAATAATTATGAAATAAGGAACAAGTAATAGTTTTAAAATTACGAAATAATTCAATTACACTAATTTATCCGTTTTTTGTAACTCATAATCGGTAGACTCTCCTTTTGCATCATTTTGTGTATTTATAGCATATTGTTGCTTTAAATCGATTAAATACCTTCCTTGTAGCCTAAGCGTAAAATGTTAAACGACACATATGACCAGAAACATTTGGGCCTAAACCAGAACCAGGTCTTAAGGGGAGAGGGACACCAGAGAGGGAAACACTCCAGACTTCATTCAGGAAAGCCAAGCAATGGTTCGGAGAGCTCCTCCTCTTTCTCAGAAGTATAACCCTTGGTAGCCCCACCACACATCAGCTCTCAGCGGGGAGGAGAGCAGAGTAATGTAGCCAATAGAGCTCATAGAGTTATACCGTGCTTCAACCCCAAATCCCATAACCGCGTGGCATTCGGCGGCACCACCGTTCACCGTTCACCGTGTAACTGGACTGTAAGGCTGACAAAGGTATTATGTAAAGGAACAAGTAATAGGTTTATTCCATGCTGGAAGCCTTCTTCAGGTGTGGAGAGGTATACATAAAGGTATTATGGAGCCTACTTCTGAGGGAAGGGGGATGCAATAGAAGCTATAGAAACGCGAACTGTGTTGTTAGGGGTGCGTGGACCAGGCAGACCGCAGACGACCCAGAGGCGGACGATGTGGTTACCCCACTGGATTTCTCCACAACAGCCCTCTCAGGTGCAGCAGGAACCGGCACCACCGGAATTCAAACACGAGTTGTTTTTGCTTACAATCCAACAGCTAAACGAGTTCGAAAATAAGAACTGTTCACGGTCTTTCTAAGCCTATTTTGTCCATCTTCTTACATTACAACTTTATCGCATTGCGATCAGACCAAAACTGAAACAGGGTTGGTTATCTCCACGTTTTACCCTTCAACTAGGAGCAAAGCCTCGCCTCAAAAAACCCAGTCGGTCGTCTCGCATAATTACGGACAAACACCCGCCTTGTTCTCTTGGATTTTGTAATCAGTGTGATGTGATTTATGCACAGTCTAGAATTGTGGGTTTTAACTTTAATTAGCGTCCAAGTGGATGCTGCACATTGGTGGCAGTGGAGGCACGTAAAGGTATAGCGCTTTGAGTGGAGTGTCCAGAAAAGCGCTCTGCAAGTGTAAGGAATTGTTATTATAGCAGTAAAAGAGAATATGTTGCGAGTAGTAATCTGATGGGTATGCAGTGCTGCATTTAATTGGCATGTTCACTCTCAGACATCTAGTTTTACGATATTTTCATCGAGAAATTGTAATGTATTTTAATAATTCACTTAGATGTGTAATTTCATATGTTCTCTGTAACCCGCACCTTCCAGGATCCGTTAACGATTCATTTAAAGGTCAAGCCATGTTTCATACTGAAATGTAATAAACTCTGGTTCTTAAATACTGTGACGTGATGTTATTATGATATTACAGACAGCTCCCTGATTGGGCGCATTGTTAGTACCGGAGGTCTGCAACAAGACTCTCTGTTGCGCTGCAGCAAACTGGCTGTCCTGTGCACGGCCTAGAAATGCGCGCACCCGCTGCTTACACGTTCCTGCCAGCAGGGTGCGTTCCCGAGAGGTGGAAAAGGGGGCTGAAGGAAGGAGAGGCTGAGAGAACACAGCTGTCACTGGTAAAATAAATATTCCTGTATCTCCTTTACTCGGGACGGAGAAACGCAGATCGGTTGCCGGGGCAACGATTCTGTGCGTTGAGCAAGGTAGGGGAATGAAGTCATTGTTACGCTAGTCGTCGTCATGGTTACAACCAGGAGGTGGCGCTGCGGCGGAGCAGCCCGTGCGAGGTGACGCAGAGCGGGGGCGTGCCCGCGCTGCGCGTTCCGCGGGACTGCTTGTTGTTCCCGCAGAGAGGCGAGAAGATGGCGGCCGTGTCGAGCGGCGGTGCAGCCGGACCAGTAACGGCTGGGATTACCCACTCTTCCAGACCCGCCTCCACAGGCATGGGCGCCCAGAACCGAGCCCAGCCCCCCGCCGGGATCACCCACCCCAATCGCGCTGCCCAAGCCGCCGGCTGCATCACCAATCCTGGCCACCTCCCGGGCGGCAGGCCCCCTCCAGCCAGAGTGGGGCCCTACGAAATCGAGAGGACCATCGGAAAAGGCAACTTCGCGGTGGTCAAGCTGGCCACGCACATCATCACCAGGGCCAAGGTAAGAGAAGCAACCAGGAGGACCCGGCAGCCCCCGGGCCGGGCTGTCACTGCTCCGCCACGGGCGAGCGAGAGGGAGCGCAGCCGCGCTCTCACTTTTCACCGGGGCTGCCAGGCCTGCTGGCCGGGAAGAGCGCCACCGCCAGCCCGGCTCGGCCTGGGGGGCAAGAGCGGAGGCGAAAACCAGACGGTAGCGTGAGTTGACAGCGTCCTGTCGGCGGGCGGTGAGCTCGGAGGAGCACCGGGGAACAGGGGCTCCGTGTGTGCGGAGACGTGTGGGGCTTCCCGGTGGTGGGGTCTGTTCCGTTGGGTTTTGTTTCCAAAAAGTCAGGGGTAAAATGTACTGACAGGCCGCGGAGGCGAGAGAGCTGGCTCAGAGATGTTGTGTAAGGTGAAGTGAGCTCAGCCGTGGAGCGGCGTGGGATGCTGTCGAGTTGTCGCCGCTGACACGGCGCATAGTAGGGTCTGTGGATCGCCAGGGTCTGAATCCACAGTGGGCGAGTGGTGTCCGAACTTCGTGGTTTTGTGATGAGGCTGTAGGGGTGGTGTTTATAGGTGCTAGTTGGGAGTGTGTGTGTTGGGTGTTCAGATTTAACCGTATTGCAGAGACCGACAGTGAGTGTATTTGTGTAGGAGTTAAATTGGCTCAGTAATGATGCTGCATCATCATTATTAGCTACTGAGCTGGGACAGGAAGATGCTGTTGTAGGTGTCCTATTTGATGCCATTTAGAGCACTTGACGAAAAGAAGTGAGCCCGCCAGGCAGGATGTTCTTGATATTCAGTATAGGGGGGTGCAGCCCTTGTCCTGGTGTGCCAATCTGCAGGGTTTCAAGCCCTGGAAGAGCAGAGAGAAGCTGTTCAATTGATCCAGTTAAGCCAGTAGCCAGCTGGTTTAGCTTGTTAAGATTTGAGTTGGAATGAAAACCCACACCAGGATTGGACGCCTCAGGTCTAACCTCTGTAGTGGAAGGTGTTCTTGTTCCAAATCCCTGTCAGGTGCCTTGGGTTGGAGCTGGCCTGGCGGTGCAGCAGGTGTGTAGTGAGCTGACTTTAAGCTCTGTGTTTCACTGTTCTCCCGCTCTGTTAAACCCCTTGTCTGTCTATTCATTGACAACAGTGGTAGTGCTGATTATCTGGGGTGCCTTAGTCTTGGTTGACGTGATGGAAGAATTTGTTCATGGAAGTGTCTTCTTTCTACACAAGACATTTTATTTTCTCAGGTTTGCCCTGTCTTTGATTTCCTTCCTTCGATCTCTCGGCTTATGGGCTTTGCAGTTTGCAGGCCCATCTGTGGCACTCACACACTCTCATTCACACTCATTTACTCACACAGAGACACACATACACTCACACTGACTGTAAAGGCACTCTGTGTGCATATATATATATACACTTATAGCAGTGCACCAGCAAACAGCTGTACAACTCATTTGTTGGTGAACTGTAAATCAGCACTGAGCACGTCTCACTGGCTCCTGTCAGCACATCTGTCTAATTCTGGGAGCAGTTTATTCAGGCCCACCTCTGGCTCCCTCCTCAGAACTGTCCAACATGGGAAGAAACTCTGGGATGCTTTGCTGTGGGTGTCATGTGAAGCGTGTTTGCTTTGGGGGACGGTGTGTCAGATCTTTTCTTTCTGTGATGTATATGTCACGTACATCATGTTGTATGGAAGTTGGTAGCAAGGTGTGAGGTTTTGTGCATCACCCAGCTGTGACATTCGGCTGTATGCGGCAGGAGTACACTTTTCACATTGCACAGGCCTAAACGCACCTCTCTCCCAATTACTGTAGCCTATAATTCCCAAGTTTGAGTGTGGAGCTGTATCAGCGTGTTTGGCTGCAAAGAAACAGATCAAGGTTAATTCCACACTGAAGAACAGAAGGAAGAAACAGTGCTTTGGTTGATGAGCCTTCTTCACTCCAGAAGAATTTGTTTCTTCTTTCTGCCTATCAGTGTAAAATTAACTATCACTTATTTTACATGTAATTTAGGCACATTTTCTATTGGAGTCCTGTCGGTCCCAAACTTTGTCCAACTGTACAAACCCACTTGATGAAGCAGAAAGGTGGTTCTATTTTCATTCATGTTACCATGACAGTTGAATAGAGACTAATTATATTTCTTACAAATGAAGTTACTGATAGCTATATGTATCAATCAGATTATGATTAATGAACTGAAAACAGGAAGTAGAAGAGAATCCTGTTGCTAAGTAGTTTGATCTGTGATCTGTGCGTTGCAGAGACCTGTAGACTCTCACAGTTTGCTGGACAGTACAGGCTTGTTACCTTTTTTGAGTAGGTTTGCTTTGCAAATGTGTGCCAGTACGACTTATGCTTCTCTGCTTAATTCTTGCAAATGGTACACGATGTGTTGTTTGTCAATTCTGAAATGGAGTATTTGGACTCTGATTTGTTTCCTTGAAGCATATTTAATGGAAGAATTGATACATTTACAATAGTTATGTAGCATATTACCACTTTCAATTACCAATATTAAAACACCTTTAAATTTGTCCTATCTAAACCAAAAAGGAGATCGATGATCTTAAGTTAAAACAAGGAAGAACAGAACACCCTTCTGCCTAACAGGTTCAGTTTGACATCCCTGTGTTTTGGAGTCCTTATTCAGTGAGCTCTTCAGGAACTCTTAAGAGTGAATTGCTGTAACTCTGTGAACAGAATGGCTACATGTACATTATCCAGCAGATTTTTTGCAGTGCCGTCCTATTCCTTCAGCTGGATTGCTTTCGGTTGAAATTGTGGAGAGGGAACGGTGTGCTGGGATTGAGCAGTCTGTTCCCCATGTCTTCCACAGGATTAAGATCTGGGGTTTGTTCGGACCAGGGAAGGTAATGGAAGTCTGTCGTATACTCCTCAAGTTAACCAGAATCTATTAATTTGATTGGGCCTTCCTGGTGTTTTGGCCAGTATAATCCCTTGTGGAAAATGCTTAATATAGATATTTTATGAAGTCTTCTGCCTTGGCAGTCATCAGAATAATCACCAGCCTTTAAACCACCCATTCAAAACAGTTTTACCTTTTGTGGGCCTAATTAGGTAACCTGCACAAAATAAGCTTCATGATTAACGTGACTTACAAGGGGATGGAAATAAGATTGCCCCTTCAGAGCAATTTTGATTCTTTTCAGTTCTTATGAGTGGCAATGTCTCGTACAAATTGTACTGATGAAGCATGAAAGCATGTTATTTTAAGTCCAGGTCTTTGCCTCTGGTAATTTTCCTCACAATAACGTAGTGAGCATGAAACATTCAGCACCTGGTGTTTGCTTATATACAAAGGCCTTCAGCTCATAAAACCTAGAAAGGTTTGAAGTGCTCGGCAGTGGGAGTCTTGCTTCCATCCATGTGTACGTCAGACACCTACTGTCTTTTGTCTATCAGTTAGTTATGTAGCGCTCTGATTCCTTTACCTAAGGTATGTAACGGGATATTATTTGAAAAATGCACTCCGTTATAAATGCAGCTAAATATCATTTCAAGTGTAATATGTAAACTTTAAGAATTTACACACAGAGTTTACACGGTGTAGGAAACAATACGGTGGATGGTGTGGAATGCAGATTCGTTAGTGATGTTCAGTGACTAGAACAGCAGCTGGGCATTAGCACCTCCTAGTATCTGCACAGAGTGGGGCAGATGAGTGTGGGGGTGACATGGGGGGGGGCAGATGAGTGTGGGGGCGACGGGAGGGGGGCAGATGAGTGTGCGGGGCGACTCGGGGGCAGTGATAGGCCACAGCTCAGGGTGTCCCATTCGTGGTTGGCTAGTGGTGTTATCCCGGCTTGAACACGTGTGTGTAAGCATGTGTTCAGAGTGAGCTGGGGGACGTGACAGAGTGACCAATTCTGGTAACAGATTGACTTACTGGGAGAGTTGGGTCAGTTCAGTCTAGACCAGCAACAAGTCATCCATACCTTAAAAAGGTGTCAAGTGGGTCCAGTTAAACCAGTTAGGTCATTCAAAGTTCAAGCTGAAGAAACTTCAGTGGAGCTAGAAATGACTCTGTGTGACTAAAAGTAAGAAATGCTGTACTGAAGATGTTGAAAGCTTAGGTGGGACATGCCAGTGTGTGAACACTGGTGAACAATTAGAAGATGTGCTAAAAGTTGTAGAGGAAGGGATCAAGGATGGCAGCACCAAGGAGAAGGACAGGGATGATATACAAATGAAGCAGAGGCCAGATTATGAAAGATTTGTTTTGGACTTGGCTTTGCCTTTGTGTGATTTGGGGTTTGCTTTGTTCAATTCAATTCAATTTATTTTTATATAGCGCCTTTCACAACAAGGTTGCCCCAAGGCTCTTAACAGTACAGCTGACGATACATTTTGTCAATACGGAACAGAAAACCAGAAGACAATGGAGGAGAGGAACCAAAAACTCCATAGTAAGGAGAGAAAAAACCTCTAGGGGTCCAAGGTCAACTGGTTGCCTAACCCCTTTGGGCATGCTAACATTATATAATTAAAAAAAGGAAACGATGAGGGTATTAATCTATCCATCCATCATGTCTTCTGTGCGTTAGTACTCCATGCAGATCTTTGTAGACCAGTAAATTCCTCCTAAACGGTAGCTATATCCACGATGTCCCTCTTGGATCCAGTGATGCAGCATCCAACTCAGATGGTGCCCAGCCTGCGCACCATCCGGACATGTGGGGAGGAGAATAGGATAGTCTGGTCAGAACAAATGTATTTACCTGGTGGGCCAACATAGAGACACACAATAGCATGTACAGCAGCACCAGCAGCCATGGTTGCAGCAGGCTATAATGTAAGGTGTGAGTAGGCTAGGCTGAAGTAATAGGTCTTCAGTCTGGATTTGAACACTGAGATTGACTTGGCATCCCAAATATGGGGTGGGAGACTGTTCCATAAGCTAGGGGCCCTGTAACTAAAGGCTTTACCGCCAACTGTTTTTTTATTAATTCGTGGAATATGAAGGAGACCTGCATTCTGTGACCTAAGCAGGCGA